ATCAATTCCAATAGTATAAATGTAACAATGAAAAGAAATATCGTGAAGTATAAGAATAATGGAATAGATCAATATTATTATCACAACAACAATAAGAAATTATTTAATCGAATAGTATAAGGAAAAACTTGAATAATAAAATAAGTTAGAAAGAACGAATAATGAGAGGCATGCGAGTACTTTCCTAAAGTCATATGGTCTCCTTACGTGCAGTTGATAGCAGTCAAATACGGCTCTAAGATACAACCCATATCCGCCGGTAGTCTTCTCTAAGCATGTCCGAAGAGTAACAAAGTTGTACCATTCTTGTCTTCAAAGTTCCCCCAAACACGATATAAAATACTTTATAAAATCTCCAAGTATCAAGAGAAAAAGGGATAAGCTCACAACCTTACACCATTATACACACAAAATATGGAATAAGACCCATTTTATATAGTTTTCAACCTGTAACTCTTTCGTATCATCAATACAAAATTTAAATAAAATAATAATGGTAATAAATATAATAATAATAATTTTATAATTTTTATAATTTATAATAATAACACTTTAATAATATTTATATTTTTTATTAAATAGTACTAACACATCATACCATGTGTCAAATATAAATATTTTAGATTTTGGTGTAACAATTATTAATATTTTTTTAATAATTTTTGGAAACTAACCTTATAACATGAATAGTTTGAGTTAAAATTAAAACGAGTTCCATTAAGCATTTTTGGTGGATCCATAGTAGAACTCGTTCCTCTTTAAAAGTAGACGAGTGTGTTATATTTATTTTCTCAAATTTGTTTCGCAATGAATGATAAATTATCTCCAAAGTGAGGTGTTTAATAAGCTTAAAAAGAAGCTAAATAGGTGTGTGAGAAACTTATCCCATATCAGAATCTTAAGGAACACTTTGTTGTGTATATATGTAAGAAGGTGGAAATGAAAGGTCACAACCAAGTGGTGTGATTGGTATGGACTAAGTCCATTTTGGGCTTGATTATTACAAAACACATGGGTGCGCGCTACCACCCACCGGTCGACTGGTCCCTTCCTAAGTGTGGGTTCGAGCTCAAAAAAGAATTAAACTCCCATTCTGTACAAACCTAATCCAATTCAATTGGTCAGGTGCTCCCTAACCCTTTGTGTCAAGTGAGTCTAGCCATTGCAGTCAAGTTAGCCTATTGTGTTTAGGTCGTGAGCCTAAGAATTGTAACGGCTAGTTAATTATAGTCAAAAGAGGCGGGTTTTCATAGAGTGGTTTATTGTTCCATTGGTGTGTAATGCTCTCCTAAATTGAAAGGAGTTCGTTATATTATGGGAGACAAACGCCAGAAAAGACAGTTGAACACCTAATATTCGATACTAGCCTCGATCTATTAACAAGTTCTTTTAATAATAGTTAGTGTGCTATAGTTGTTTAATAAATACTAGCATAGTGAATTAATCATTATTTAAATTATACTGTGTGCTATACTTCTTAAATAAGCGACATATATGCCATTAATTTTCTAACAATAATTAGACTTGAATAATATTTGTATTGAAACTAATAGATAGAGTAGACCGATTTAAAAACAATTTTTTTAATCAGTCTCATTCCTTCGGTCTCAACATTAAAAAAAAAAATTACAATATCAGACATTCAAAATTTCATATAGCCAATTGTTCACACCAAAATCTATAAATTTCTAGATTCAATCATGTGGCAATGCCTTTGAATAAAACTTGAGTGAAAATATCCAAGTGTTGATGAGATGCGGAATTTTTGAGTAGTCGAAGGAAGCTATAGAATTGAAAGAATGATTTCAATTGAGTTATGTACGTGCCAAAATTTTGGTTGGAGTTTGACAATTAAATTTAGATGTGTTTGAGTGACAAAAGGTGCTGAAAATTGGAAGGGTTATTATCATATGTAGTTAACTATTTTTAGTAGAATTTATTACTTGCAACTACTTTTAACTACTCGAAGGATGGCTATAATTAGGCATAGAGAAGACTTGAATAAAGCTTCTCGGCCATATAAATTGTTTTTACTTTATTACTTTTCCTGTACTTTTCTGCCCTCCTTAGGAGGAGTTGTTTGGATTATGAGTATATGTAGTTAACTATTTAATGTTGAGGAGTTTGCACGTAAATTGTAAAACATTAAGAATAATACATCAAATTTATTTATACATGAGTCATAACAATATGAACAATACATCAATCAATATAAGATAACAATATGAAATCACAACACTTTCATTAAAATAAATAATATATCAATTTCAACAACATAGATATAGCGATTGTGGAAATTCCACACACTTTATAGGAAAATATAAAATACAATACATGGATACAACAAATTTATTGATACATTAGTCATAACAACAAGAACACATCAATAATGAATAATACTGAATTCACAATTCTTTTACTAAACTCAATAATACATTGATTTTAATTTGCAATTCTTATAATATAATGAATGATACGTGAATGTGAACAGAAGTAGATAGTTATATAACATAGAATAATCTCAATAATAGAAAAATTAACATAATAATAGAAATTAAGAAATAAAAACAACAATAGTAAAATAGGTAAGAAAGTGATGGCCTTATATGAAGAGGCATGTGTAAAAACATTGACTTAAACTTAATAGTCCTCCTTCGTGCGAGTGCAACTCAATCAGCTCCCAGTGACATCTCATTTATGTGCATGACCATAGGTAGACTAGGTCCAAGGCTATATATGTTTTGTTGCCCATAAACTCAATAAGTAAAAATTACTCTCAAAGAAGAAAAAAGATAGAAAGATGTATTTTTCTAAGAAGAATAGACTCACAACCTTATAAATGTCACTCTAAAATTACAATATCCTAAATGAGAGATAGTGGATGATTTATATATAATAATATGAATACGTAACGACTAATGTATAATAATAATTAAATTTATAATTGAAATAATATCCACCATAAATATAATTTAACTCATATAATAATATTCATCATTATAAATATAATAAATAATTATATTAAATATATTAATTACATCATCTATATACATATGTGTATAACAGTATGGCACCAAACAAACCACTCAGACTCAACAGAGGCTAGGGCACAACGGCAGGATATATCAAACTTGGCATGTGACAAGCCATGATCAGAAGAGGAGGAATCAATCTGGTGGTCTAGGTGGAGGCCAACGTTTCTCTACCATTACCCAATCAATTAGGGCGATTTCAGCTTCTATTCGAGTTCTTGATCCTCTGGATTGGAGAGGTTCTTTGATGTATCTATGTACTCAAGCTTCGCCAAGCCTGCAACAATCATTCTTCTTCTTCTTCCTCTCTCCAGATGCAAAAAACTTTGTCTACTTCTCCATGTGCGAACTTGAAATTTGAATTTGCAAATTGTAAAACTTGAATTCGCGAATTACAGCCGCATTCGCTCCCAAAGCATTGATTCACGTTCAGAGCTACGGAGAGGCACCATATACACACAAATCGTGTGACTTAACCAATCATTGGTCAGAGAATATTCTAACATCCTCTGTGTGAATAGACCACAATGCCCTTGCCAACTCAAGCTACTAAGAAAGTTATCTGGATGTTACACCACAGGCTAGTATGCCACTTGTTGTTTATTGTGATAACAGTGGGGCAATAACATAGCCTAAAGATCTAGTGCAACATGAGCGTGGTAGGCACATACAGAGGAAGTATCATCTTGTAAGAGATATAGTACATCGAGGTGATGTGATAGTAGCCAAGATAGTAGCGGAGAACTTACGGATCCTTTTACTAAGGCTTTACTAGCGAAGAAATTTGATCTTTATATGGGGAGAATGGGTGTTAGATACGGGATTGAATGGCTTTGAGTGCAAGTAGGAGATTGTTAGGATTTGTGTATGCCCCTACAAAGCCATTAAATGTAATATGACAATTAATTAATGAAATCTGTTTTGTTTATCTTCATATAGTATTGATGAAATTGTATTGAGAGGATCAAGTGTGTTGATCGAAATTGTGCATTAATTATGATAGGGAAAATTCATGTGCACAGGCAATAAAGGTATGTGTACAGGGGATATGAATTTATCAGTATTCATAATTATAAATATTCTTCTTCTATCGAATATAACTGGACATTTTAGTTCATGAGTCTAACCACTGGTTTCCAACTCGATAGAAATACTAAATGGAGTGACTTATTTCAGTCATTTAGATGGGGTGATCCAAAACCAATCGAGTTGGCGTGTATAGATCATTGAATGGGTCAGCGATAAGTAGAAGACTACTTGAGCCATCATAAATAATTTTCCTTATCAATTACTAATGTAAGTTGATTCTTAATCCTGAGATCTATACTGACTCGAGTTGTATTAATTATTTACATTGATATATTTGGAGTGATTTATGGATTGGACAACTTAAGTACTTTGGATAAATATTTAATATATTTACTGCAGAACTTATTTTATCAATATGGAATCTACGTAGGAAAGTATTTGGGTAGACCAATTTGATCACAGGAACCTGATCAATTATATTTAATAAATAGTATTTGTTTATTAAATATATGTAATTGAACGTGGGAGTTTTAGGTTACCAAATATTTATTAGTTCTCTTTGAGAAATAGAGATTTGGTACCATTAGGTCAATAGAATGTTGGTCTCTTTCTTTAATACATTAAGTTCAATTTTATTAGTAAGTTACCAAATGGGCAAAAAATTTCAGATGAGTACAAGATTCCTCATAATTGAAAAATGCTTTGGCACTTTTTTTTTTATTTTTTTTATTTTTTGAGATTTTATTATGTGAAAACAAGAGAATTGCGAAGCAAATAAAATTCTCTGCAGAAGAGTTCATGAGAATAAGTGGTAAATAAAAAAATAAATATTCAGATGAGTATGGCCAAGGAAGTCAATCTGATAAGATGTTTCTTTTCTTATCTTGCCTTCTTGTTCATTCACTTCTCTTACATGATGCCACGTCATCGATAACGATAAACTATTCTAGAAAAGTATACCCTATTTGATGGCTGGGCGGAGAGAGAGAGAAAAAAATAAAAATGGCGCCAATTTGTATGCCTTTGATGAAGAGCAGCTTCAAAACTCTGACAAGGGCCTGTACTACTCCAACTCCTACTACTTCTACTAAAGAGCGTGAACATAACAAATCAATGGTTTCAGAGAAGACTCAGAAAAATTCTAGGGTTTTGATATTGGGTGGAACTGGCAGAGTTGGAGGCTCCACTGCCATTGCCCTCTCCAACCTCTGTCCCCATCTCCGCATCGTGGTCGCTGGCCGAAACAGGTATTTTTTATTTTTTGTTTTCCTTCAATCTGTTTGCTTGCCAAGAAAATGTGGAAAAATAGAAACTAATTACGAGTGCAATTTATTTATTTTTGTAACTGTGTAATTTTGTATTAGATATTTTGTATGTTCCAGATTATGGAAATTTTGGAATAAATTTTTTCTCTATTTTCCTAAGTTTTCCTGACAGTCAATTGGAGAATCTAGTTTCCACAACAATTCCCAATTGCTTGGGAAAGGAGGATTTAGATTTGTTCTGATTCCTAATAACACTTCTTTTCCCTCCATTTATCGCTGAGAAAATTTGGAAGAAGAAAGCAAAATAATATAAATCCCAATTAGAAGCGCTATTGGGCAGCAGGTCCTTGTCAAGATTTGAATTGTAGAAAGAACTTACGGACGGCGGTAGACTGGCTGTGTAAAGAACTCAGGATGTGTCATGAGGTGGGGGCTATGGAAGAATAATTAGGAAAGGCTGGGAGGAGTTTTCTAAGTATGTTATGATGCAGGTTTTGAAAATATCATGACTGTTGATAATTTAGGGAGAAGGGGAAGAACTTCCACTAATTGGTTGAGATGTTGAGAAGCTGGAGGGGGGTTTGTGAGTAAACACATTATTTAAGATTCAAGGTGTCAGTTGAAATACAATATTGATTGTGTTTTTAAGTTTTGGATGATTAGGCTGATTGGCCATTGAAGAAGAGAAATAATGAGTATAAAGAAATAAAGAAGGGTTAGAGAATGCTTCTGACTTCTGTACACCGCACAATTATATTAACAAGAAGTAAGAATTACATTAATACCCCATGTGGTAATTTTTCGCTAAGTATGCTCACTACGACAATATTCGCACATATTCCAACACCCCCCTCAAGTTTGTGCATAGATATCTCTCTTAGCCAACTTGCATACAATATAATGGATTATAAACTAGTTGTTCCTCTGACTTTACGAAAGGAATGCAAATCACTCCATTATTTAACTTTTCCTCAACAAAATGTTTGTCAATCTCAATATGCTTCGTTCTATCATGTTGGACTGGATTATGTGCAATGGTTATGGCTGCTTTGTTATCACAAAATAGTCTAATAGGTCCATCATCCATAATACCTATATTACTCATCAAGATCTGAATTCACATGATTTCACATACCCCATGGCCCATAGCCCTGTATTCTGCTTCGACACTAGACCTAGCCATTGCCGATTGTTTCTTACTCCTCCAAGTTACCGACTTTCCTCCTATAAAGGTGCAATAACTTGAGGTAGACAATCTATTATCAACTGGGACTTACCAATCTGCATCTATCTATGCCTCTAGTTTCAAATATCCATGATTAGAGAGTAAGATCCCTTCACCGGGAGCAAATGTCAAATATCTGAAAGTTCGATAATCAGTCTCTAAATGAGTGGTGCGAGAATCATTCAAATATTGGCTAGTAAGACCCGCTGCATATGTTATATCTGGAAGAGCATGAGATAGATATATAAGTCCTCCAACCAATCTTTGATATCTCATCTTGTCTCCTTTACCCTCACCATTACGAAGATGATGATTAACCTCAATAAGTGATATTGCCAGTTTATAGCCTAACATGCCTGTCTCTTCTAGACGGTCAAGGATGTACTTCCTTTGAGAATAAAAAATGCTCTTATATGATCTTGCAATCTCTATTGCAAAAGAAATACCATAAAATCCCCCGAGTCTTTAATTTCAAACTCCTAGGCTAAGTGAGCTTTCAACTTTGCCCTTAGTTTGCTTAATGAACATGGTATGAGCAACATTACTTTACTTGTACCCAAACTAGATCATGGACTTGCGAAATTGGTCAAACCAATCCCTTGGAGACTTCGTCAAGCCATAAAGCACCTCCTTTAGGGCCTGCTTGGTAACTGTTTTTGCTTCGTGTTTTGGTTGCCAAATCAGTGAAAAAAAATAAACAAGTGGCGAAATCATGTTTGATAACATTTGTTATGTCTTGCACAGTGTCGCATCTGCTTCAAGAAAAAGGCCCAAATCTGGAAGCAAGAAAAATATGTTTTCACTTGTTTCCACTATTGTAGTTTAACCAAAATAGGAAAAAATTTCTTTAATACACTAATGGAAGGATGGACCAACGCCTAAGTGATGGAGAATCATCAACATGAAGAACATAATGAGAAGATGAACTTTTGGAGGAAGAAGAGGTCTATAGTAGATATAGATCATCATGTGCCTTACCAGTGCCAATCATTCTCCCCGTCCCCAGTTCCTGAAACACACAATGAGTAGGAAAAAATGTTACAGAACATTTTAAAGACTTGCTGATACAATTAGCAGAAATAAAATTAGTAGAGAAATTGGGAACATGTAATACGGAAGAAAGTAACATGGATGATTATCATTGCACAAGTCCTTTTCCATAGATAGATGACAAGTAGCCATTTGCAACTTTAACCTTATCCCTACCATAACATGTTGAATAAGAAGAGAAAATATTAGAAGTACCTGTCATATGATCAGTGGCCTGTGGATGAGAGGGTGGAAACACACTAAAAGCACTTGCGTATCTATTACCCATGTAAGCAAAGTTAGAAGAAGATGAGCCAGTTGTGGAAGTTGAGGTCGATGAGGTATTAAGTCGAGCCATCAAGTGTCTGCAACTCTTGTTGAGTAAGAGTGGTAGTATTCCCAGTAGTAGGTTGAGGCACAACCTCGGAAACCTCCGATGTATGAGCATGTGTTCTCGACCCTCGCTGTGCCAAATCATTCACCACCTCTTCCTCTAGTGGGATGACCATGGAGTTTCCAACAATGATCCCTAGTGTGCCTTGGCTGCCTGCAAAGTTCATACTTCAGATGCTTCTTCTCAGAGGCCCCACTATTGCTATCAACACGCTTCTTCTCAGAGCCCCCACTCTTGCTATCAACACAAGGCTGTCCTGACTAGTGATCTTTCTGAGGAATAGTGGCTAGGGCAGAGCGATCCCTAGACATAGAGTGAATCATAGTACTCCTATAACTCTCCTCTGGTTGGACATATGCATAAGCCTGCCTCAAAGATGGGAAGGGATCCCTCTGATCATACTATTTCAAGTCTAGCTATGAAATTATACACGCTCCTTGTCCAATAGTTTTTGAAATTTGGTACTATCATTGGCACAATTTCCTGAAAATCCTGATAATAGTCCCACTCTTGCCACAGGCTATTGAGCTCATTGTAATATCGAGAATAGACATAGCTCATTGTATGCATCTAATTTTTTATACTTGGTGCTGTAGCTGAAGTGAACGGACATTCAATGATCCCGAATTCCCAATAACCCCTCCGTGGGCTCCCCCTCACTTATAAAGCAATATTTAAATGATGCTGTGGACTCAGATTCCAATCTACATTCAATAGGCCCAATCAATCTCTGGCCTGGTTATTTGCCTGCATGGGCTAGCTCAACTGGTAAGGCTTTGGGGGTACTCCCTTTAGGTCTCTGGTTTGAGAATCACCAAAGGTGAGGTCTGGATTTGATCACCGTCATCGGCTTTGCCACCGGAATTGCATTAGAAATCCACCAATAACAGCATCAAGACTTTTATTTTTGGCTCTTTGTTTGAATTAGGGGCTGGGCCTTGGGCCAATGCATGTTGTCATTTGTTTGTTTGGGCTTCTATCTGTTTTCCCAAGTATGTTTGGGTTGGTTTGGGCCAAAGGCCTTTCACTGTACATTTTACTCTTTTATATATATTTAGCTTCACCTTTCGAAAAAAAAAAAAAAAAAAAATTGTCTGATGTTTCTTTTTTCTTTTTATTTTATTTCTGTGAACCATACACAAAAGAACTATGCCCTATCTTTGTGCATTGTTTGTGACATTTCATCAGCTAACTGAAATTATAAAATTTGCCAAATTAAGCTGCTGAACTGTTTAACATTTGTTGAATGACAGGGAAAAAGGTGCCTCTATGGTTGCTAGGCTTGGGGAGAACTCCGAGTTTGCTAAAATAGACGTAGAGGACATAAAGTCGTTAGAAGCAGCGTTAAATGGTGCGAGGATTAATCTTACACTTTTGAATTGGTAACAAGGATCATTTTAAGTGAATTGTAGATCCTTGGAGTTCAGTTGTCTGCATATAATATTAAAATATATTCTCTTCATGATGTTGTCATTTTTTTCTTTTCCCTCGTACTTTTTCTTATTTTATAGAGGTTGATTGTCTTTTACAGTTAATAGCATAACGCCATAACCAAATCAGCAATTATGATAATGCTCATCTGCTACAACTGATCCCATATTTTTCCCGACTCTGTGGTGTCATTCTTTCTGGTCCCTTTTATTTTCTTTTCTAGGTTGAGTTGATTTTGAAAAATCTTCTCTTCCTTTTTGTCTTCTTGTTTTAGTGCTCTTATTATCTAATGGTTCTCCCATTCCAGTCAAATTCAGCTATCTAATAGGGGATGTTCCTGTTTTGTCTTGTGTTTTCTTTTTCCTTTTTTGGTTATTACTCTCAAGGAGTGAGAAGAGATATTGGCAAGTTTAAAGAACTGTCAATCGTCCCATGGTTTGAATACTTCTACTGAATTTTGTTTCACCAATGCCCCCATGTTTTGGAAACTGCTAAATCCTTTGCATTGTGCATGCTCACCCTAATGATTATAATTGTGCATGAACAAAGGTAGTTATGATTATTTATTAATTTATTTTTTTGGGCTGGGAAATAGAACACAAATTCCTTCTTCACATTTTTTACCAGGAGCACAGTTCTTGGTACAGGTTCAGTTTCTGTTGTTACTTTTAGCCTAGCATTAGCACTTATTTTTGGTTTTACAAACTGGTAGCATAGGAAATCCTTGCCATACCCATTCCTTCCATGAGTGTCAGTTGGAAAATAGGAGAAAATAAAAGCCTTTATGTACTCTGAAGTGTTGTTCTCCATCTCCAATTTTGTACGCATTACATTTGACTATTTAGATTTAGCCTCACTCTAAGGGTTACCCTAGACTAGATGCTATCGCTCTTTGTTTTTCCTTTTTCTTGTCTTGGTAAAAAAAATATCTAACCACCATAACAACCTTTTTATTGATACCTCAGGTTATTTGTTATACCAACTATGACTTGATAACACTCCTGAAACAAAACATGAACATTTTGGAACGGTAATCCTAGTAAAATAGAAAAAATGGTGAATATAGAATGATATATTCTAGGGAAATTCCAATGTTAAGAACATCCTTCAAGTTTCTTTTACTTTATATTCACTGTAGAAGCCCCATTGCAGATGTGGATCTTGTTGTACATACCGCAGGGCCATTCCAACAGGCAGAAAAGTGTACTGTACTGGAAGCAGCCATACAGACCAAGGTGAGAAAAAGGTAATTATTAAGCTTTGCTCTTTTTTCCCTAAATTTTGTGGAATTACTGTAAATTTTAATTACTAGGCATCCGCACAACCTACTTGTTGACATATATAGATAATAAGCTGTATTGTTGACTATATAACTGTTAACATATATAGATAATTAGCTGTAAATGTGCTGATTAGGTGCTGATTAGCATAGTTATAGGAGCTGATTTTTAGTCTTTAATTTCTTTCCTTCTTTGTAATTATTATTTAAATCCTCCACAAGGAGAGGAATAAACACGGAGAATTATTCCTATTCCTTTATCTCTAGAAATATCTTCATGGTATCAGAGCCATCTAGAAAGGAATTTTAAAATCCTATTTTTCTTTTAGGGTTTTCTGCAAATACATCTTATTACCCAAACACCAGTTTTTTTTTCTATCACCCCAGAACCTACCGAAAACCTTGCCCACCACCACAGACTAGGTATCCTTATTTGACTTCATGGCAGACAAGATTGAAACCCCAACCTGCGATCAATGATCCAACTTTCACGACTCTAATGATTCCTCCAACTGCATCTAACCCGCATCAAGATCTGATAAATGTCCAGTTGATGCCTCATAAACTTGATGGCAACAATTATCTGGCTTGGTCACACTTTGTGAAGTTGTATATTACCGGCAAAGGCCGGTTGGGATATTTGGCTGGGGAAAAACCCCAACCCGCGATCAATGACCTAACTTTCACGACTTGGGTTGCAGAAGATGCAATGCTCTGCTCTTGGCTCCTCCAAACTATGACCTCTGATCTTAGTCTTAGGTATATGCTGCTCAAGTCTGCTAAAGATATTTGGGATGCAGTATCTCAGACTTATTCTGTGGGAGGAAATGAGGCACAAATTTATGAGTTGAAGCGTAGTATTTAGGCTACTACTCAGCAGGGAAGGACATTGGAGGCATATTACAATGCCCTCCAAGCTTTGTGGCAAAAACTCTACTATTATAAACCCTGTGAAATGGAATGTGTTGTTGATACCGCTCTGTTGAATAAGCAGATTGAAAAAGAATGCATTTTTGAGTTTCTTGCTGGTCTTAACCTAGATCTAGACCAAATAAGGACTCAGGTACTTGGAAAAGATCCGTTTCCTTCTTTGCGTGAGGCCTCTGCTTATGTGCGTACCCAGGCCCTCCGACGATCTGCTATGCTCATGCCACCTTCTCCAGAAGGATATGCTTTGATTTCTACCACAAGTCAATTACCTTGGGTATCATTAGCACATCAGCCCGATCCTCCACCAACTGCAGCATCTGGTAATGTCGCTAAAACTACTAAATCTGATGACAAAGATTGTTTGGTTTGTGATTATTGTAACCAGACTAGACATGTGAGAGAACAATGCTTTAAACTCAATGGTTTTCCACCTTGGTGGTCAGGAAAAAAGGGTGACAAAGGTGAAGGCAGTAAGGGCGGAAAAGGGAGTCGTTCCAGCTCCAAGGCTCATTATACCTCTTCCAGTAATCAGAACGGTGACCAATCTGCTGCTAAGTTCTCTTCTGGTCAGATGGAACAAATGATTCAGGAGTGTGCTCGTTTGCTCTCTACTAAAGGGTCCAGTTCTTTATCCACGTCCTCAGGTAACCTTGGTCATTGTTTTAGTGTATCTGGTAAGTCTTCCTCAGAATCTTGGGTTATAGATACAGGGGCAAATGATCACATGACCTCTACATCTCATTTTTTCTCATGTTATTCCTCACCTACTAAAAATTGTGTCACAACTGCTGATGGTTCACCAACCCCTGTGACTGGTGAAGGTTCAGTCACTCTTTCTGATTCTTTGTCCCTTTCCAATGTTCTTCGTGTCCCTAGATTTTCAATAATCTTCTGTCTATCAGTCAACTTACTAAAACCTTAAACTGTTCTGCCACCTTTTTTGACACTCATTGTATATTTCAGGATCTTCGGACGGGGGCGAGGATTGGTCATGGTAGTGAACGAGGTGGCCTCTATCTCTTGGATGTACCAGTTGCTTCAACCTCAGTTCATGCTCTGCAGTTCACTACTGGTTCATCCCGTGACATTTGGTTATGGCACAAGCATTTAGGACATCCATCATTTTATTATTTAAAAAAATTGTTTCCTTCTTTATTTTTTGCTGTTGATGTTTCTCAATTTCAATGTGAAACTTGTGAACTTGCTAAACATCATCAGATACCTTTTCCATTAAGTATTAATAAAAGTGCATTTCCTTTTGCTCTTGTTCATAGTGATGTTTGGGGCCTTCTCATGTGACTAATCTGTGAGGTGCTAAATGGTTTGTCACATTCATTGATGACTACTCCTGAGTTACTTGGGTTTATCTGATGAAGGAAAAAAGTGAAGTTTTCTTTATTTTTAAGTCCTTTCATCAAATGATCCATACACAATACAATTCAAAGATAAAAGTCTTCCGCTCTGATAATGGGGGTGAGTACATTTATTCGGGTCTCCAATCTTACTTTTCTGACCATGGCTTTATTCATCAAACTTCTTGCACCGATACCCATCAACAGAATGGAGTAGCCGAACGGAAAAATCGCCATCTTCTCGAAGTATCCTGTTCTCTGCTTCTATCCATGACAGTACCAAAGTCATATTGGGGGGAGGTTGTCCTCACAACAGCCTATTTGATCAATCAGATGCCTTCCAGAGTTCTTCAATACCAAACTCCACTTCAGGTCTTCACTACTTCTTGCTCGCCATCTACTGTTAATCATCTTCCTCCTCGAGTCTTTGGTTGTAGAAGCTTTGTCCATGTACACCACAGTGGTAAGCTTAACGCTCGTTCCCTCAAATGCATTTTTCTCTATTATTCTGCTACTCAGAAGGGTTACAAGTGTTATCACCCTCCGTCAAAAAATTTGTCTCTATGGATATTACTTTTCACGAGGAACAAGCCTATTTTTCTAGTCTTGCTTCTACGGCTTCTCTTCAGGGAGAGACCTTGAGTAGTGAAGAAAAGTCTTATATTGTGCCTATGTTTGAATTAGAGAGTGGAAATGAAAAAATGAAAAAAAAAATGGAAAAATGAAAAAGCAGAAGGTGGTTCTTTGACTTTCCCTCCAAAAGGTCATCATATGTCTCCATTTGAGCTGGTATATCTAAGAAGAGAAAAGGTACCTCTCGAGCAAAATGATCAGTCTGCCCTGACAACAGGTAATCCTAAGGTAGAGTCTGTTGAATCTCCATTCTCTTTTGTTGATAATAGTTATGTAGATCCTAATACTTTAGATGATTCTAATGTTTTTAATGACTTAGAATTGCCTATTGCCTTGAGAAAATCACATCGTACTTGTTAGTCAAAATATAAATATCCTATTTCAAGTTTTATGTCTTCTCATCGTCTTTCACCATCCTTCAAGGCTTTTGCCCATCAGTTGTCTTTTGTTGTATCCAAGGCGATGGTTGAAGAATTGAGAGCTTTCCGAAAAAACTCTATGTGGGAGTTAGTGGAGTTGCCGAAAGGAAAGAAAACTGTTGTCTGCAAATGGGTGTTTACCATAAAGCATAAGGCAGATGGGTCAATTGACCGATACAAGGCAAGATTGGTGACAATACTCAAACATATGGCATTGACTATCAGGAGACGTTTGCTCCAGTTGCGAAAATGAATACTATTCAGGTTTTGTTATCTTTAGCAGCTAACCTAGAGTGGCCTCTACAACACTTTGATGTTAAGAATGCTTTCCTCCATGGCAATCTAGAGGAGGAAGCGTACATGGACCTTCCTCTAGGTATTGATGAAAGTACCAATAAGGGGAAAGTATGCAGACTAAGAAAATCATTATATGGCCTGAAAAAGTCTCCTAGAGCATGGTTTGGTAGATTTGCATAAGCTATGCAGAAGTATGGATATCATCCTAGTCAAGTAGATCATATGTTATTCCTTTGAAACTCTCTGCGCGGGCGGGCGGGGGGGGGGGGGGGGGGGGGGCGGGGGAATTACAGTTGTTATTGTCTATGTGGATGATATCATCATCGCCGGGGATGATACCGAGGAGATTAGGAGACTTAAGGTACATTTGGCCAAGGAATTTGAAATTAAAGACTTGGGTGTCTTGCGGTATTTTGTAGGTATTGAAGTGGCTCGTTCAAAGCAAGGAATCTTTGTTTCATAGAGAAAGTATGTAATTGATCTTTTAACTGAGACAGGGATGTTAGCCTGCAAGCCTGTGGATACTCCTATCGAACAAAATCATAGATTGGGTGAATAGACTGATGATACACGAGTTGATAGAGAGAGATATCAGAGGTTGGTTGGAAAACTAATATATTTGTCTCATACACGACCTGATATAGCCTATGCAGTGAGTGTTGTCAATTCGTTCATGCACGAGCCACATGAAGCTCATATGCAGGCAGTAGAGAGGATACTTAAATACTTGAAATCAGCACCTGGTAAAGGTCTTTTGGTTTTAAAACATGTTCACTCTGCAGTTGAGGCCTATACAAATGCTGATTGGGCAGGTTCTATTTCGGATCAAAGATCAGCTACGGGATATTGCACATTTGTGGGTGGCAATCTAGTTACTTGGTGGAGTAAGAAGCAATTGGTTGTGGCCAGGTCTAGTGCTGAGGCTGAATTCAGAGCTATGCCCCACAGTGTGTGTGAATTATTATGGTTGAAGATCCTATTGGGAGAATTGAGGATTGCTTGTCAAAGTCCCATGAAGCTATATTGTGATAATAAGGCAGCCATCAGCATTGCTCATAATCCTGTGCAACATGATCGGACTAAACATGTTGAGATTGACAGGCACTTTATCAAAGAGAAGGTAACAGAAGGTGTGTTATGCACTCCCTATGTGAGGACCGAGGATCAGCTTGCTGATATTTTGACTAAGGGAATCTCTAGCAAAGTGTTCAATTCTGCTCTTGCCAAGCTGAGAATCGAGGACATCTATTCTCCAGCTTGAGGGGGAGTGTTGACATATATAGATAATTAGTTGTATTGTTGACCATATAACTGTTAACATATATAGATAATTAGCTGTACATGTGCTGATTAGGTGCTGATTAGCATAGTTATAGGAGCTGATTTTTAGTCTTTAATTTCTTTCCTTCTTTGTAATTATTTGTGTACTAGTTAAATCCTCCACGAGGAGAAGAACAAACACGGAGAATTATTCCTATTCCTTTATCTCTAGAAATATCTTCACTACTTTCTCATCAAAATACATATTACAAATGTTTCTTGTCTCCTAACAGACGGCATATCTTGATGTGTGTGATGATACAAGCTATGCATGGCGTGCAAAATCTTATAAGGATAAAGCACAGGATGCAAATATTCCAGCATTAACAACTGGTGGAATCTATCCAGGAGTGAGCAATGGTGCTATTATACACATCCTTGTTACTTGTTTTACACTTTTAACACACTTACTAGTACATAAATAAAAGACAAAAACTGTATTAGAGCTAAAGAAAATATAATGAAAATAAAAACCTAATAACCGCATTGCTGAAACCATCTGCTTGACAATACAATATATTTCCATACCATAGACTGTACATGACAGGTGACTTCACAAACCTGGCTTCTGAGCCATGTATCTCACATATGATCGCGAGGAATTGGCTTATATGATTGTCTCTTAGATACATCACCTACTATTTCAAACAATGTGCTGCATTTCTGAAATTCACTATTCCTTACGAAAAAGTTTGTCTGTAATATGTCTAGCAATATTGTTAGGTAATAGGACTTCATTTGGCAAATTCCGTGTCTAAAACTAGAGTCCATATGTATTTTTTTTTTATGGTTTTAGTTAGAATTGTGAAAGTTAGTGTCAAGTTAGTTACCTCTTGTCCAAGGGAAGAATTGTTAATAAAGCTACATTCAGGGCTAAAAGGTAATCTTTAATGCCAAGGGTGTAATGCTAAATTAATACTCATGATAATTTTTTTAAAATTAGGATTTTCATAATCTGATAATTTTTAAAAAATTAGTTGAAGTTTGTTATACAAGCTTTCGCAACCTATTTACCTTTACCCCCCTTAGCTTTAGTTCACGGATCTTTGGCCAACTCTACATCAGAGCCTTGGGTTACGGTTCTAGACTTCTCAAATATATACACACAATTGTATTATTTCTTAATTTTCTGGTTTCACCTATGTCATTTTCAGCATATTTTGAGGATTTTTTGTTTTTTATGGGTTGCCTAAAACCTACCACGGTACGGGGTTGCCCAAAGGTTTATGGCATTGCCTATCTGACACAAACCTTCGTACGTTTTATAAAAACTGACCAGAAATGTAATGTCATTATGAAGTCACATGTCAAGGATGTACAATCTTGAATTCCAATTTAATTCAGAAGTGCAGCAGTTATATTATCTTGGAAAGTGAATGCATTCTCAAATCTGCTACACTGATTTCTTTAGATCTCAAATTTTAATCATTGCTACCATCGTCATGACAGTGATGGCAGCAGAGCTTGTTCGCACTGCAAGAAGTGAAAGCAAGGGCGAGCCAGAGAGGCTAAGGTAATCATCTTTCCCTACTCCATGATGCTACAAAAAATGTTTATTTGCTGAGATTTCTTTTATTTGTTATTATTATTTTATTATATTTTTTGAGGGGACAAGAAATTTTCCACCAGCTATGCATTAGCTGGTACATCACATATCTTTTTCCTCATTGCCCCGTTCAATTATTCTTAGCACACCTTACTTGTGAAGAATTTGATGGTGATGAGCCTCTTGTGTATAGGGGGTATTGGCTGAGCTAGAAAATTTTAAATTATATGAAGTTACTTTGTCCTTATTTCATAAGAATTTACAATAGTACTATAGGCATGGTATAGTGTACACCAGAAAAAAAGGGTTCTTTTTTATAATAGTTGTTGATGCGAAAATCTGCATGATCCAGAATTGGACGCCTTCCCTGCGAAAGAGAAGAAGTGAACAAGGCAGGCACTGGCGTGGTGCCGGCTTGGCACTCTCTGACGGTCAAGTTAGTACTTGAGCCATTATAAGTCAAAGGAAGACTTTGTATTGAATTTTTGGCATACCTTTTCAGGTTGACCACGCCGGTGCCTGCCTTGGTCATTGCTCTTGTATCATCAAATTCTGTACCCCCACTGGAATGGAGAAAAATGCAGCCCAATAATAATAGAATGAGGAGATGACTGATTTAATGAGTTCAACTCTACCTGCCAAAGATAGATTCAAGGCATTCCAAGCTTGCAGTTTGGAGGAGACTTTATCAATTAAAGGCTGGCAATGACAACTTCTTATAGCTTTGTCAAACATAGGAAGTCCAAGGTAGGTGACAGGCAAATTACCCAATCTGAATTTCAGAACTCTCAAGATAATTCTTTTTCTTCTAGCAGAGATAGAGAAGAAGACTGTGCTTTTGTCAACATTCACTTGAAGACCAGATAAGGAAGCAAAATGATTCAGAATATCCATGACACCCTTTGCATTCTTCACACTGGCTTTAAGGATAATAAATAGATCATTAGCAAAAAAGAAGTGGGATAAGTTAGAACCTCTCTTACTGATTGCAGTGCATAAATCTAATTGACCCTCTTCAACCTTCTTTTGCATCAATTGAGATAAAATTTGTTGCAAGACAGAAAAATAGGGGGGGATAATGGACACCCCTGTCTCAGCCCTCTACCAGAGCTAAAATAGCCAGATGGGACTCCATTTACTAAGACTGAATGTGGACTGAAGTAATGCAGGTCATCACCCAGTTGGTCCAAACCTCTCCAAAACCATACCATCTCAAGATGTACTGCAGGGAACCCCAGGACAGAGTCAAAATCCTTTTGGAGATCAATCTTGAGGGCCATAGTTGGTTTCACATATTTGGCACCAAAACCCTTCAAGAGATCATGAGCTAAAACTATATTGTTCTGAATTTTCCTGCCTTTAATAAAGGCAGCCTGCTCACACGAATAACTTCAGCCAAAACACCACTCAGTCGATTAGAGATAATTTTTGTAATAAACTTGTATAATGAGTTGCTTAGAGAGATAGGCCTGTAGTCAGCCACCTTCAAACTGTCACTCTTCTTAGGGATCAAAAAGATGGAAGTGCTGTTGACTCCCATAGAAAGAAAACCACAATTGAAGAAAAACTGGACAGCTTCAACCAATTCCTTCTTCACTATATGCCAGAATCTTTAGAAGAACCGATTAGGATAGCCATCAGGCCCTGGGGTTTTATCAGGGTGAATGCCATGACCACATTCTTCACTTCCTCTTCTGAAACAGGAGCAACAAGAAGATTCCTGTCTTCATCACTCACCATTATTCTAGGATATCCCACAGAAGGAACAGAAGTTGGAACTGCAGCATATTAAACCTTCATAATATTCTACAATCCATTGCCCAGTAATGGATCGATCTGTACAACAAACACCATCATTATTCTGCAAACACGTAATAGAATTAAGAGCTGCTCTTTGCTTGACTTTATTATGGAAAAATTTGTTGCATCTATCTCCCTCAGTGATCCACTTCAATCTGGATTTTTGAGCCCAAAGAATCTCCTCCTGCCACAAAGAAACCTCTAATTCTTCCTGAGCTAAAGATTCTGCCTCCAGCAAATGAGAATTAAATGGCTGTGCCTGCAATTTGAATTGAATATCAATAAGATTAGACCTGCACTCTACAACTCTAGATTGAACAGATACTCTGTCATTGTTCCATTTCCTCACTTCCACCTTCAGGAGCTTTAATTTCTTCATCAATTGATGCATAGGATTTCCTTGAAGTGGTTCCTTGTACACCTTACCACCAAAGGCTCAATGTCATCCATATGACACCAAACCTTTAAGAAATTAAAAGGCTTAGGGCCACTAGCACAGTCAGAGGAATAAGTAACCACCATACCAAAATGATTGAAATTGAAGCTGCAGATAACATCAATTTGGAGTTAGGGAAACTATGTTACCATTCTGCATTGATGAGAACTCTGACCAATCTGGCACATATCCTCTTTGAAGTGTATTGATTATTGGACAATTTCAGTTACCATTAGTTACATCCAACACCAATAAACCAGAAAGATCCAGCATAGAATTGAATTCATCATGAATAGATTGAGGCAACAACAAACCTCCCTTCTTCTCTTCATTAGCTTTAACAGTATTCCAATCACCTAATGTGATCCAAGGGCCCTGTAACAGATTTAGATTGCTGGATTAAAGACTCCCACATAGACCTATCTCGGACAGTATTGACAGCCCATAAATTGCAGAAACAAAAAAGAAGTCGGGAAGACAAATTAGAAACTTTCAGGAAAACACACTGGCTATGCTCCATCAAAACTTGTACATCAAAGACAGTTGGGTCCCAGCCCACCCAAGTCCTACCATTGACAGCATTAGAATAATTGGCAATCCAGTTCCAATGATGTTCAAGACCAACTGAAATCTTCTGAAAATTATCTTGTTTAACTCTAGTTTCAACCAAATAAACCACAGAAAAATTAAAAGTTTGAATCCAAACCTTAACTTCCCTCTGCATTTTTGACCTGTTGAGGCCTCTCATGTTCCAACACCTTAACATTAAGAAGGGTTAGGGGTGGCACTTAAGGAAATGATCAAATAGAAATCTAATACATATTTTATGGTTTGCTCAATTTTCTTGATCTGGGCCCAAGAGGCTGTAATAATTTTTTTTGATTCTTTCATCGAGTGATCTAAAGCAACTTATGTGCTAATATGTTCATTTCAGATTCTATTACTACACCGCAGGCACTGGTGGAGCTGGCCCAACAATTTTAGCCACCAGTTTCTTACTTCTAGGAGAGGAAGTTGTTGCTTATAGTAAAGGTTAGTTTCTTACTTCATGGAGTAGGGATTGTTGGTTATAATAAAGGTTAGTTTCAAAGGCAACAATAGAAGATTGTTTTTTTATCTTTCTTTCTTTATTTATTTTTATTTTTTTATTTTTAAATTGCTCGCCAATAATGTATTATGGAGATAACCATGATAATGGACTATTATATCAGGAGAAAAGATCAAACTAAAGCCTTATAGTGGAATGCTCAACATTGACTTTGGAAAAGGGATTGGAAAGAGAGACGTTTATCTCTTGTAAGTTCTACAAGAATGAAATTAATGTCAAAAGCTGCAAAACATTTTGTGCATAGACCTATAATATAGATATTACAATGAAAGATTGTCTTGTGTTCATCTAATGTATCATGCACAATGCTTTAGGTCATCTTCTGTAATAATTTTAATATGTCATATATATGTATATATATATTTCAATTTCCATCTTTATGATTCTCCACTGTGGCTACTTCTTGCTGATTTATCATGAAAAATATTGGATTGCTATATTGTTACTCACTTCCACTTTTTGGGTTAAATGGAAAATGTTAGATTATATTGTATATAATCCTAGGGTTAGGGTGATGGGGAACGAGCTATAATGATTTTCATGGATGATGAGTCGCACGTGTTCAAGCTCTACTTTTGGAAAAGGGGAAAAGAAAGATAGAATTCGTGATTTTAGTAAATTAGTGTTTTATTTATGCTTATGGTTATTTTTAGTAATGTTTTAATTTTAAGGATATTTTAGGATTTTATTATCTAGGGTTTTGTTATTATTTTGCCTATATAAAGGCTCCTTTGTAATATGATAATTCAGTTTTTGAGAATTATTGAATTATTACGTGAGTTTGCGAAGTCTCTCTCTTTGTATCTCTTCCCACTCGTGTTTTTGCTGTTCTTAATCCCTCAGTCTCACTAGCCTACCTCCTTCAGTCTGATTTCTCATCTCCTTCATCTATTTTCTCACCTCCTTCGTCAGTCTCATCTCATCTTCTCATTCTCATCCCCTTCTTTCTTTCTAGTTACTATAAGTTACTTGTCCTGCGTCATAGGGTTTACCGGAGCCACCTTCACCTACCCACTTTCCTTACATAGATAAGTTTCCCATCACTCACCTACCCTAGCTTGTACAGCCCTCACCTACCCCCATTCCTCACTATGTATATAGGTGCTTTGTACATTGTAATTCATGCAATACAATATATATTTTCCATATTATTCTAACAGAAAAGGTAATTGCTATGGTTTGGTATAGTTCCAAAGAAAGAATCTCAAATTTTTGCTAGGTTCTGGTGTCTAATCTAAATGTTAGTTTGATTACATTTTAATTAGAAACCACCCTGCAAGCACACTGAAAGACTAAAAACATATTTTTTGTTGTTGTTTGTAACTTCTGATTTAATGTACTGTATAAATAGACTTTGTAAGAACAATGTGCAATAGTACTAAAATTTGCTCTCTGATCCCTTATTACTGGTTCATTCTCAACATTATTGTTTCGCATGTTTACTTTATATCCTGAAGCTGTTGTAACATTTCCAATCATCAAAATTTACTTGTTTCTTTAAGTTCAACACTGAAAATTTAGATGGCTGTAAGATGTGTTCCTTTGGTCATGAGATTGGCAATCAACAATCTCTTCATTACCAAAATTAGAAGGGCAGTTACTGAATAAGTACCATTTCATCTACTAGATTGTTATCTTTTCTTTATGACTATAATTTATAATTTTCTGGCCTCTTACAATATTTGAATGTAACTTTTCAAAGTCCTCAGAGCAGCACATTGGTAGGACCAATACCATGCAATGACATGGTGGAGGTCCTGTGGCTGAATCCAAATTAGACTCTCCTTACGTAGTTCCATGCCAATTTGAAGTCTAATATTGGTAATCAATATTACCTATGACTAAAGTTTATTTAAAATTTTTATATTTTTTTAAATCATGACCCATGAAATGCGAGGGTGATAAAAATAGCAAAGTTTCATAGGAATTAATTCCAAAATTGGCATATGGTTACCTCCTTGGATCAACTTCAATGATTAGAGTTTTAATTCATTTAAATGAGCCTACTCATAGCAGATGTCATTTTAGATAGTCCCACTTAACTTTTGATTAGCTGCTCACGTAGAACACTGAAGCTACTTTTTGCTCCAAGAATACTCCTACAATCAGAACCTCAATTTCAGGAATTTGCCAGAAGTAAGAAGTGCTCATGAGGTTCTACGAGTACCAACGGTCAGTGCTCGATTTGGAACTGCACCATTTTTCTGGAATTGGGGAATGGTAGCTATGAGGAGTCTTCTTCCTGCGGTATGCTCTTGCATTCGAGAAGTTGCTTATCTTTTGTAAAGATACTTCAATTGTTGATGTTAGCCTTGCTGCCTTGATCTAGTATCTTTGTTTATTTGCAGACTGTTAAAAAGCAGTGATCCTAATGATGTTTCTAGATAGCAACTGCTTATTGATATCTTATTGATTCACTTACATCTGATATCAAAATTTTTACAGTAGTATCGGAGTTTTATCAGAAATGTTGTACAATAACATCCACAAACTAGTTTTGATTTTTAAAAGAATTTAGTTACTACATTTACCTATCTTTTGATGATAATTTGTCTACACCATAGAATTGGTTGCCCATCCTACACATGAATGTGATGAGTTTGTGAGAACTTAAAACAAATGATTAATAATCTATACTTAATCACCAGTTTGATCAAACATCAATTATAGAATTTACTTTGATTGTTGGTTCTTCCAATAGACCTATACTGTTTTGGGTATTTTTGCAGGAATATCTTAGAGATAGAAGTAAAGTTGAACAGTTGGTTCAATCATTTGACCCAGTAGTCCGAAAAATTGATGGAATTGCTGGGGAGCGTGTGTCAATGAGGGTAATGTATTATGATGATGTTGAACTAGGGTACTGTTACATTATATTATCAGTAGTAGTATATACTTTAAATTTGGTACTTTCAGAAAAGGGAATTGGGATGCAACTTTGCTGTTTGTTAAACTATATATCAATACACTTTTTTTTGAGCAGGTTGATTTGGAGTGTTCAGATGGGCGCAATACTGTAGCTATATTTAGTCATAGGAAACTCTCAGTGTAAGTTTTGATTTCGAAAGCTTTGTTGCACGTATGAGTACAAGTATCCCTAATTTCATTATGCAGTTGCTTTTATCCCGCACCTGTTGTACGTGTATTTCTTAGCTATTCATATGTTGCTAATTTCTATGACCATTTTTCGGGAAAGATAATGTACCGGGGATTAATGTCACACATAATGTGTCTCTCCTAAACTCATGTCTTGCAGATCAGTGGGAAATGCAACAGCGTCATTTGCACTTGCCATTCTCGAGGGAAGCACACAAGCTGGTGTTTGGTTTCCAGAAGAGGTATGCAATAACAGCTAGTTGATTTAGTTTATAGTTATTTTCCAATCCCATTAAACTTCATTTACATTTTCCATATAGCCTGAAGGAATTGCAATTGAAGCAAGGGAAGTTCTACTCCAACGTGCTGCCCAAGGAACAATCAATTTTGTAATGAACAAGTAAGATATATATATATTTTTGCTCCAGATAACATTTTCTTTCTCCAATTTGTGCGATTGTAGTTTTGGCTAACATTTTCTTTAACAGGCCTCCATGGATGGTGGAGACAAACCCTAAAGAGCTTGGATTAGGAATCTATGTGTAAAATTTCTTATATAGAGCTCCGTGGACAATTGAAGTTTCTCCTTTAGTTAGCTAGTTGTACCGCAGAGGTAAATTTTAAATTTAGTTTCATGTCTTGATTTTTGTAAGCATGGCTTCAAGTAAATTTTGAATCCTGCCTGGTTAACTTTCATTTTTTAACATGTAAGGCACTTGGAAGTTAAAGCTGTTGTAGAGGCCGTTGACGATTTTGCAGTATTACAATTTACCACTGATTATTCTTGTTTTACACAACATTTGTGCAGCAAAATGAGGATTCTCACTTTTATGGTTTCTCTATGCTGTAAATTATTGCCAAATGGATGTGAGAAAATAACGTACAGATGCTGCAAATTTGATGATGATAGAGGTGGGATGCAATGAATATCCTTTTTTTTTTTTTTTTGGGTTCATGTGATAAAAGTGCAGAAACTGCATGCACCAATAATTGGTTTATTTATAGGAGACCTTTATTCTACATAAATATATAGTTTAATTTCATTTTAGTTAATTTTTATTTTATTTTATTTCTGGATTGAGAGTTGCAAAACCCTAAACAATCATCTGGTATTCAAACACCACATCACACAGGGACTGAACTAGGAATTAAAGTAGGTTGATTTGGAAGCCAAAAATTCTACTCTCAAGTCCATAACAGATGGAAGAGTTGCACAGCTTGCGTTTTAAACTCAAAACTGATTTCAGAGATAGGGTTTGTTTGGTTTTGTAACTCTTTCTGTTTCCAGATAATTGAAAATTAGAAAACTGTACAAAGATTATGTTTGATTCAGTTTTTTGAAAATTATTTTTTTAAAATTCAGTTATAAAAATGTTTACGTTGTTTCATGTTTTTAAGTTTCAATGCCTGCATAACCAGCAACACTGAGTTCACTCGCAATGCAAGAAAAACAATGCCCCGTATTTTAATATTCAAACTTTTTGAGGACTCTTGTTTTTTAAAATATAGATATTTTTTCATTGACAAAAAAATATCATAACATACCCACTTGGCAACAATTTTTTACTTTAGAAGGTGAGAAAGTACTAAAAGACACATATGTCTTCAGTTGTTTTTTAAAATATTTAGAAAATAAAATACACAAAAACACTCAAAATGATTTTGCTCTCTTTATGTGTTGAATCTGTTTGGTTGCCTTTAACATTGACTATATATATATATATATATATATATATTTCACTCTAAACCCGCCTAGTTTAGTTTTTAAAAATTGGGTAAACTGCAAAGAAAAGAATCCATTGATACAGAATATGCAAGGATCCCTTTGGTGTTCGAAAACTCCTCTAAATCTTTTAAATTGAGCAAATAAGGAGTATTCTTCAATTTAAAGACTAAAATATCAAAATGCCATTGAGACAATAAAAATAATAAATAAATAAAAAACAGTAATCTCAAAAATTAAGAACTTTTATAAAAAATTTGGAGTTTTTTTAAAAAAAAAATTAAAAAAATAAAATAAATTGGGGTTTTTGAGTATTTTGGGATTTTAAAATTTTTTTTTAGGATTTATGGGGTTTTTTTAAAAGAAAAATTGAAGACTAAAATACCTAAAATGCGCTAAGGGTTTGGGGTTTAAAAAAATTGTCAAAATTGTCAATCAAAGGGCAATTTGTTACAAATTTTCAAATTATTGGGATTTAATGCACATAAAAATACCAAGGATGCATTTTGCACATTTTATATAAAACAGAGAATTATTTATTTATGTGTGTGTGTATATATATATATATATATTTGCACTTTACCCTTAAAATTATACAACATTTGATATTTTATTTTTTGTTCTTTTCATTATTTTTCATGATATTGTGGATTTTTAATAATAAATTTAACAAAATAATGATTTTAAAAATTTTGTTATATATATATATATATATATATATATATATATTTAATTTCTAAATATATTCTATCTTTATTTTATGAAGTGCCAAAAAAAATAATAATAATAAATAAATAAGACACCAAGGCTGTGGTACTTCCTCTCCTTTCAAAGAGAAAGGTAGAGGGTTTAAGTCTATTCAAGTGCATTGTAGTAGTTAATTGCCAAGATAAAAAGAAATGCAAAGAATAATAATAATAATAATAATAATAATAAAATTTTGCTTTTTACAAATTTTACGAATACCTCCCTAAAATTGATATTTTTGGCTTTTATTATTTATCATGATATTGTGGATTTGTAATCATAAAATTAATAGAATTTATGATGTTAAATATTTTGTTATATTGAATTTTTTTTCTTAACAAATTATATCTTTAATTTATTTAGAATTGTATTTGGTTTTTTTTGGGTGAAATACAAATTAAATAATTAAATAAATAAATAATACTCCATCTATATACAAATTGTGTGAATTCCTCCCTAACCTTTAATCAACCCCTATATTTTTTTACAAATAAGGACATTTGGAAATTTCTAAAATACCCTTACCAAAAAAAATAAAAAAGCCCACTATTATATGAAAAATGTGCAAATACCCCCCCTAAGTTTAGTTAAGATCCTACATTTTTCAAACTATGCAACTAAGTACATTCCTTTAATTTTCCATTAACAAAAGACTTTTTTTTTTTTTTAACCAAACAAAAGACTAAATTATCTAAAATTCTCTCTATTATGAATCTCTTCGCGCAGTTGAACGTAGAGAGAGAGATTTGTTTGTACAGGGACACATAGAGAGAGAATCTGTGGGTGAGAAATATGGGTGAGTAAATAATCTGTCAATCCGGTTCGAATCAATCTGATCCGTATGGTTCAGTTCGGTTTTAAGATCTCATGGTTTGGTGATGGTTTAGAAAAATAACAATCCGTTATTTGCGATTCGATTAACAGATTGGGCCTAAAAAAACCGATCCGATCCATTACCTTAATTATATATTAATATATTACACACACACACTGATAAGCGCCGAATATTGCATATTCAACCGCCCTTATTTACATTAGTTAAGTCCATTAGTTGATCATATTGTACATATTAGCTTTATTTGCATTCTTTTGTCTATTTTCAAGTTGGTCCCCAAAAAGAGTTAAAAGTGACGCTCTGATAAGTTTTTGAAATCAAAATACGCCGTTGCCAGGGACTGTCATTTTGGCCAAGTCAAGTGATCCATGGAATTCATGTCACTCTATGCAAAGTTCAAGGATGAAGAGTTGCATCATTAGTTCGCGCCCAGAGAGGTTCAAGAACAACAATTCAGAGCAAAAAGGCCCAGATCTCGCGGGCGCCCGCCCAAGACTCACGGGGGCCCGCCCAAGACCCGGGGGCTCCCGCTCAAGAGCCGCAGGCGCCCGCCGATCTGCAAAGAGCAGATCAATCACTCCATGATTTAGCTCATCTTGTCCCCTTTGACCCCATTGTGTGGTTCTGCTGCTTCTAGGGTTTTTGGGCCACAAAATTGGGGTGTTTAGATGTCTATGGTTGTATATATTAGAGGCTTAAGGCATGTAATAAGGGGATCTCACTTTTTGGCAAGTTTTAGGGAGAGAAAGAGGTGTGTTGAGAGTTTTGGGGTTGGAGCTTGCTCTAAGCACGAAAATGGAAGGCTTCATTCTCTCTTCTCCTTCCTCCTTTGTGTCTATGGGTAACTAACTCCCTATCCAGGGAGGTGATGAAGCCCTTCATTGTAAGCATATTCTAGTTTTGATTCTATTTTGGGAAAAATGATGTATTTTTGTGGTTGTTCCATAATCTAGAGCTTGCATTTGATGTAATGAACTGAAATTGATATAAATGATCATATTGAATCTACTATCTTGTCTTAGAATGTATGTTCTCATGGTTGTATGGCTTGCATTTTCATAGTGGCAATGGAAATGAGATTGTGGAATGGTTTTAATGGCATGTTGTTAAGAAATTTGATAGGCCATGGCTTAGGTTATTCCTTTGATGGTTTATTTTTTATTTTTAGCTTCATGTGCTCTTATCATGAGATTGAAGGCTTGATAATCTCTAGCTTAGTAAGCATGTATAAGGCTACACCATAATTAGGTAGTTCAAGTATGTACAACTTTGATAGGTTATTCTAGCCATTGATTTCATGAAGTTCTTGAAGATAATGTAGCAACCATGTGTAGCTACATATCATGGCCACTTATTTATGTTGTTTTTCCCAAATGAATCATATTCTAGCATGTTTATATAGTAGGTAGTGAATTCACTTCCCTAGTCCTCTCTTTATTATTTTCCTCTCTTTAATTCCTTGCAATTATTGACTTATGCAATTTTAATTTCTAATTCTAGTGACAAACCCAATCAAAACTCTATACCCCTTTTATCAAGCTAAAAGTGAATTTAAAAAACCTTGGTTGCCATAAACTAGCAATCCCAGTGGTTCGACTTACCGACCAATAGCCCTATGTTACAATGATTTGTGCTATTGCAAAGGGTTGATTATTATTGATAGTCGACAAGACACCCTCACACACACACACACATATATAACTATATATATACTTACTGTATTTCTTTCTCTCTTTTTTTATTCATTATTTAAGACTTTAAGTTAACCCTAGGTCACCAAAGTCATTAGTCATTACAGGTTTTTAATTACTAATATGAGATTTTAATGGACCATAAAGTGTAATCATATTGGACTATTTGAAAAGCCCAATCCGTGAAAACCGAACCGATCTGATCCGTGAAATAACGGATCGGTTTGGTTTGGATAGAAGATCCCAACGGACCAGTTCGGTTTCAAATTTCACCAATTCGTGGGGACTGAATTGGATTGAACTTTACTCCCAAATCGAACCAATCCGATCCGTGATCAGTCATAGAGAGAAAAGAGAAAAATATATATGAATGAAAGAAAGAAAAGAGGAAAAAAAAAATTGATATATATATATGCATACATATATAAAGAAAAAAATAAAGAAAAGAGAAAAAAATTGAGAGAAAGAAAAACCACAGAGAGAGAAAGAGAGAGAGATGTTGAGAGTTTAATGTTGCCCAGACAAGGACCCCAGATGGGTGAATAGGGTCTTTACACAACCAACGGTAAATTCTTGGTTTTCATATTCTCTCATTAGCCACTTAATTCATAAGACACGTGTGTTCATCATCATTCTACAATGATTTATACATTTATATTTTTTTGTTTTGATAATCAATGCAATGTTACCAATGGGCCAGTGGCCTAGCAGTAACAGCCTCTTACCTCCCAAAGGGAGGTCAGGGATTCAAGTCTCAGAAGAGACAAGTGTGTGTGAGTACCAACTAGGAAAAAAAAAAAT